ACATACCTGGCAATAAAGCTCATTCTGATTCTGATTCTGAAGCTGACACTGGACTGTGCTCAGGTGCTGGAGCAGGCTCTGCGACTGCTCTCTCTGGAGCTGGAGCGGGCTCTGCGACTGCTCTCTCTGGAGTGGTTTTGAAAACTACATCTTCCTCTGGAGCGGGCTTGGGAACATTTCTCTCTGCAGTGAGCTCAGAAACAACCTCCTCTGTAGTGGACTCGGTAAGTGCTCTCTCTGGAGCGGGCTCTGCGACTGCTCTCTCTGGAGTTGGCTCAGGAAAAGTTATCTCTGCAGCGGGCTCAGAAACAACTTCCTCTTTAGCGGGCTTGGGAACTGCTCTTTCTGGAGCGGACTCTGGAGGCTCTGGGACTGGACTCTAGAGGTTCACTTTCAGGAATTACATACTCCACCACAGGTTTGGCAGGAATTACTTTTGTGCACAAGACAAAACTGACAATACATTCAGAGAAGGCCTCTATAGCTGTGACAATGGGCATTGACAACAGTCCAGAGAAGGACTCTATGAACATGACATGACTAGAAGAAATGGTCTCTGAGGGTTTGACGTGACTAGCAAGTACATTCATTCTGGGCTTGACATAAATGGCAGGCAGATTAGAAGAATTCACTTGACTAGATTTTTCTGGAACACTAGGACTTGGGACTTAAGAAGGAGGGACAGTAGACAGCATGGGCCTTTCTCTTCCTCTGCTTTCGACGGATTGATACTGTGTGCTTGATCGCCTCTGTAGTATCTGCAGACAACTCAGTCAACTCAGGAGAAATTGCAGTGAACTCCATCGACTTAGCGGTCACTGAAACTGACCCAGAAGACAGTGATGGGACAGGAACAGGCTCAATTGACTGGGGAACAACAATTGACTTGACTGACTCAGGAATAACAGGATCACACTCAGCTGATTCCGGAGAGACAGATGTTGACTCAGCAGACTCCGAAGTAGCTGGAGCTAACTTGACTGACTGAGAGATGACTGTGGTTGACTTGATTGGCTCTTGAATCATGGAAGTGGATGTGACTGATTTGTGGATGACAGAAGTTGACCCAGACTTAGAATTGACTGGAACTAACTGGATAGTCACTAACTTGGCCATCTTGGAAATGTCTGGAGCGGGCTTGACTGGCTTAGAAATGTAAGAAGAACTCTTAGCTGTCTCTGGGAAAACAGAGGTTGAATCAACAGACTCAGAAATGTCTGGAACTGACTTGAATATCTGGGAGATGACAGCAGTTGACGTTACTGGCTCAGGAGAAACTAGAGCGATCTCAGCAGACTCTTGGGTGGATATAATGGACTGGACCAACCTCTTCTTTCTTCAGCTTCATTTGTTAGTGGGAGTCAGTGGTGGTTCTTGACTAGAACAGGGAGGTTGGGTGGAGTGATCACTGCATGCTGACTCAGGGATGGCTGGGACTGACTTGACTTACTCAAGAACACTTACAATTGACTAGTTTTGGAAGAACTGGAGCAGACTTGACAGACTCTGGGTTGACAGGCTTAGGAATTATTAGAACAGACTTGGCGGATTCAGAGGCAGATAAAGTGGTCTGGGCTGCCCTCTTCCTTCTTGCCCTTTACTGCTGGGTAGGAGTCAGAAAATGATCTTGCTTTGATTTGATAAGGAAGGGGGAGGTGGAACAGTCCCTGCAGACAGGTTCTGGTGATGGTGTTATCTCTTTGCCTACACTGTAAAAAAGGATTTGAGACTTTAGCTTCCCCAACTAATTTTCTTAAGTCAGTTCAACTAAAATGTTGGGTACACTTAAGATATTAAGTTTACCAGTGCCCAACTAATCCGTTTAATCAGAGTAGTTCATGCAACAAAGATTTCTTAGTTGTATGAGTAGCAATGCAAGGAAACCCCGCCCACCGAGCCTTCCTCGCAGAACAGGTCGCCATGCTTGAAGACTGACGAAAAGCTTACATTTTTGAGTCAAGAGTTCCAGAGGTAAGAGCAAATTTATGTCCAGCTTGTATTTATGAAAAATATTTGATACATTAGGGTAAAGAGTATTATTACACAGGTTGTCAGTGTAATCCTCGTGGCAGTGTTGTACGTAGTGTAAAACATGGACAAAAATATATTTATAGTCAAGTCAAGTCAAGTCACCTTTATTTACATAGCGCTTTTAA